TGACCAATAACCATGTAGCCATAATGGAGAGAAAAGAGTGTCCCTGCCACCCATAATACCTCAATTAAGCATGTCTCTGAGCTTTTCAGGCATAGACCTACTAGAAGCCATGTGCCTTCCAATTTAGGTAGACACTATATACTGCAAGGCCCATTAAAAGGGCCACTCTGACATTCTCAGAGTAGCAACTGAGCTGCTCAATAGACTAAACAGGCAGCTTGGCTTCACTCTAGATTTCTTTGGTTTCTAAGTTCACCCTCCCATGTCCTCACAGACCCCTCCAGGAGACTCAGCAGGCTTTACACTATGACTCACAGCCACTCCAGAGGGATGGCATATTAAAGTACTTGTCTTGTTGCTGTGATGAAATAACTGACAGAAGCAACTTGAAGGCAAGATTTATTTTGGTTCACCATTCTGGGGTACTGTCCATCTTGGTGGGGAAGTTGTGGCAGTAAAAACTTCAGGTAGCTGGTCATGTCACATCCACAGTCAAGAAGCAAAAAAAAAAAAAAAATGATGCAAGCTTGGGTTCAGTTCATTTTTCTCCATTTTATTGGGATAAGGATCCAAGCCCAATGGGCCTTCCTGACTCAGTTAACCTAATCTAGATAATCCTTCACAGAAACGCCCAGAGGCTGCTTTTCATGGTAATTCTAGATCTTGTCAAGTTGAAAATCAAGATTAACCATCATAACTCTATCCATTGTCAATATGACACCTAAATGCATCACTTTTAAGTCACAACTTTATATCCTTTGTCCTAACAGGCTCATGGCCATTCATAATGCAAAATATTCAAGTCCAACTTCAAAAAATCCCCATAGTCTTTAAATTTCAACACCGTATAAAAGTCCAAAGTCCAAGTCTTTTCAGAGACTCATGGCAGTCTTTTAACTGTGAGCTCCTATAAAATAAAAAAAAGAGCTTAATAGTTCTAAAATACAATGGCACAGAATAAACATTCCAATTCCAAAAGGGAGAAATGGGATCATAGCAAGAAAATACCAGACCAAAGCAATACTGAAACCAGCAGGAAAACCACCAAATCTCTCAGATTCATGTCTGGCTTATGGGGCTGATGATAGAATTGCCTAGGCTTCAAAGGGCTTGAGTAGCCTTGCCTTTCCAGCTCTGCTACATGCAGCACAGATTGCCTTTCTCTTGGGTCAGCTTTCACCCATGCCTGATGTTCTTCCTTCAGAAGCTCAAATGCCTACTCCTGTAAGCTTCTTTGAGATTTCTGTCTGCCCTTCCTGCAAGACCCAAGTAAAACCCACCATCAAATACTTCTAGACCTTAATGAGTAGCCAAGATTCTTTCTCTTTTTCTGAGTTCTATGATATATTTTCATAAGCTATCTATCCATTATTTCCACAGCATTCTAGAACACTCAATCTAACTTTGGAATTCATTCTAGGCCTTTTCCTTTGGGGAGACTTCTCAGAGTATTCCTGGACTGAGGTCATCTCTTCCCTTGAGTTATGACCCCATCTTTACCCCTTTATATCAACATTGCTGGATTCCTATACTGGCCATAGGCTTTCCTCTTCATCTTCATAATATCTATTATCATATTTCTTATCTCTTCCAGAAATTACCTCATGGCAATACTTTTAACCATTATGGCTTTCATTATCCTCTTTTTCCTCCTCCTAATCCCTATAGCTACCTCTCCTTATCTCCTCCAAAAAGCTCTTGATCTCCTCAAACACCGCAACTCAGCCTTTGCAGTGGACTTCTGGCTTTGCTGGCTCTTAAGTCCTAATTGGTTTAGTAGTGCTTAACCAGCCAATCCATTCAAATAGACTCAATTAATAATCTTCCTCTATACAAATTTTCAATGGAATCGCTATCTTACCAGACTTAGCACCATTTTAATACCATATCACCACTGTCATAGTCATCTAGGAACATAAATTTCACTTTTTCATATCTCCTTGCTCACTAGTTGAGGGCATAGTCTTGTCAGATGTGGCCCTCTTAAGCCAGGGTCCCAGTGGTATCGAAGCTATGGCAACAGTGAAAAGTCCATTCATTGAGCAAATTCACTTTCCTGTTAAGACAAAAAGAATGTTCTCTCTCTCTCTCCCTCTCTCTGTCTCTCTGTCTCTCTGTCTCTGTCTGTCTCTCTCTCTGTCTCTCTGTCTCTCTCTGTCTCTCTCTGTCTCTCTCTGTCTCTGTCTCTCTCTCTCTCTCTCCCTCTCTCCCCCTCCCGGATAACACGCACATCTCACAGGCATGTGCTATTGACACACCTGACAAAACTCTAAGTAAAAACTCTCAGTTTGACCAAGTCAGTCTACCTTCTTGAGTTCTGATCTCTCTCCTTAGCAAGATTGTTTTTCCTCTAAAAAAGTCCTCCAAAGTCCTCTCTCTCCAATGACTAACAATGATTCCCAATCAGCTCCCCAAAGTGTCACCATGTTGGGAAAATAAAACAATTTCAGCACCCCAACATCAAACCCTTCAGCTGCAGCCCCTTCTTGGAATGATCTTGACTTTTTACTTCTTTCATACCTCAACCTCCTCATGTGAAAAAGATAAATCTTTCACTTTTCTGCCTAGACAACACCACGTGCTTTGGGCCTTTTCTTCTATGTAGAAGTAAGGTGTGTGGTTATTGGACCAGCACTTGCACCATTGCCTTCCTCGCTCTTAATATCCAAGGTGCTCCTAATAACCAAACCTCACTGTACCCTTTTTAAGGATCTCTTGGCCTGAGAAAGCAATCTAGGTGATAACCCATTATAGCAGGTCATATGTACTGGTAAAAGTGAACTCGATTTGGCTTCTTGTATTTATCATAACTTGTCCATAAATTATTGAGGAAAATCCTGAATTAGCTATGGAATTGGGTCCATCAGGATGAGGTTGATTCTCTTACCTCAAGAGTACTGCAAAGCACTGTACCCTCCATATGCTTTCATAGCCTAAGGAGTGGGTACTACGTGGCCTTAAGAGAAAAATGCTGTGTCTATGCACATCTATCAGGGACAGTATGAAATGCAGCTAAGAGAACAGACATCTGATTTTAGGGAGGGAAGGAGGGACAGAAAGAGGAAGAGACTCTAAAGGATGATTCCTTTGGCAGGACACATGGGACTGACTTTCTTAGGTGATAACTCTTGGGTCTGCTCACATCACCAACATAGTTACTCTCATTCTTTTTAGCCTTTGTTTATTTAACCCGATATCCTTCAAATCACAAACCATTAGGTTCCATATGGTATTGTCCCAGGAATATCAACCCTCTTGGCATCTGTCTTCCACCATGAGGTCCTCTCAGCCTCTGAATGATGTTATAGTCTGTCTTTTAACCTCCTACCATTTCCTGCTCTAAAATATTACTTAAGAATCAATCATATAACAGGTCAGAAAGCCCAACCAGGGCCCCTCACCCCTATTCAGTTCTGAAGCAGCACCAAGAGAAAAAATAACTTTCTTCCCTTATTTAGCCTTGCTGATTTATCAGTGGGGAAGATGAAGAGACAAAGCTGGAGAGGCGGCTCAGTGGTTAAGAGTGTTTCCTGTTCTTCCAAAAGACCCGAGTTTTGTCCCCAGCACATACATTGGGTGGCTTACAGCCACCTGTAACTCCAGCTCTGGGGGATCTGACACTATTTTCTGCCATCCACAGACATGTGCATGTCCCCCCTCATATTTAAAAATAAATCTAGCCGGGCATGGTGGCGCATGCCTTTAATCCCAGCACTTGGGAGGCAGAGGTAGGCAGATTTCTGGGAGTTGGAGGCCAGCCTGGTCTCCATTAGCGAATCCAGGCCAGCTAAAGCTACAGGGAAACCTTGTCTCAAAAAGACCAAAATAAATAAATAAATAAATAAATAAATAAATAAATAAATAAATAAAATGAATCTTAAAAAAGAAATAAAGGGGCTAGAGAGATGGCTCAGTGGTTAAGAGCCCTGGCTGCTCTGGCAGAGGACCAGAGCTCAGTTCTCAGCACCCACATGGTAGCTAACAACTGTTATAACTCTAGGTCCAGGAAATCCCATGCTTTCTTTTGGTTTCCATGGGCTTTGCATGCATGGGTGTACTTACATACATACAAGCAAAACACTAATACACATTTATATAAAAAAATGAGCAGAAATTCCCACCCTTTAATAATCAGACCCTGACTACTTGGAGTCTGACCCTAGCAACTTGTGATGTCTTATTCAGACATCTAAAGCCTAACTCCTAATGACCTGTGGCATATTAGCACAAGTGTTCACTCTCGAGAAAGACAACTGGCATTGTAAACTTTGCTACTTAACAAAACAGTAATATGCTCACCTATCTCTCCAGATACAGACCTCACCCAAGTGGCACACAAGATAAGACCAAATAGCTTTTCTTAACTGTTAAAAAAGAACTCCAGGGGACTGGAAAGATGGCTCAGTGGTCAAGAGCATTGGCTGCTCTTGCAGAGGAGCTGGGGTCGATTCTAGCACCCACACAGCAGTTCACAACTGTCTGTAACTCCAGTTCCAGGGCATCCAACACCCTCTTCTGACCTCCATAGGCATTGCACGACATGGGTGCACTTACGTACATGCAGGCAATATACACATAAAATAAAAAAATAAAATATTTAAAAAAAGAACTCCAGCTGGGCATGGTGACACACACCTTTAATCCTACAACTTAGGGAGGCAGAAGCAAATGGATCTTTGTGAATTTGAAGCCAACCTTGTCTACAAGGCAAGTTCTAGGTTAGCCAGGGATACATAGTGAGACCTATCTCAAAAAAAAAGAACTGCACTTCCTTTTAGAGGAAGATTCTCTCTCAGAATCTGACTTCTGCAGCTCTGTTTCTCTTGCAGCACATTTTCCTTATGAACTTTTTCTTATCTCTGTTCTGGACTGGTAAATACTTTTACCCTTGTGTCTTCAGCCTGTCACTCTTGTTCCCAGAATGGCACTTTCTATTCCACCCTGGGCAAGTGACTTCAGTCCTTGGAAGAAAGAAGCTGTATTCTCACACTAAATCCTACCTTGCCTCTTCTTGTATAAATGGAGCAGAAACACTGAAGACGCAATGAGAATAAGCAGAGCGAGAACAGCCAGACCACTGAGCAACCTGATGCGACGAGGATGGAGGCCTGGGATCTCTAGAAACAGAAGTTGTTGTGAGTCTTAGTTATCAGGAAACAGGCCCAGGATTCTGGGCAGATTTGTCTGCATTCAGGGTCACTGTTAAAATGGAATGCCCTCTAGGGAATACCAAAGTGCTTCAGGAAACTGCACTTTCTGCTATTAAAAGTCATGAACTGAAGGGCTGGAGAGATGGCTCAAAGGTTAAGAGCACAGACTGCTCTTGCAGAGGACCCAGGTTCAATTCCCAGCACCCACATGGTGGCTATGAACTGTCCTTAACTCCAGTTCCAGGGGAATCCAAAGCCTTCTTCTGACCTCCACAGCATTGCACGACATGGGTGCACTCCTATACATGCAGGCAATACACTCATACACATAAAATAAAAAAAAATATTTTTTAAAAAGTCACAAATTGAGTCAGAGGGCCAATAATGGGCTGCTTCAAAATATCTTGAAATGCTTAGCACCTTGAAGAAGGCTTTGGTCTTTTTCACAGTGTACTTCCTTGAGAGGCGATACCCCCAAGGTCAGACTCAGTATAAAGGAGGCATAATTCCCCTAAAGATGAGGCCAAGGTCAGGCCTTGAAGCTCTTCAGAGTGATTTCTGAGACTCACTGGGAGAGATGGACAGAGCTGGTTACCTGTACAGAGCTGCTGAGTAGTGATGGAGTCAGAATTGTTGCTGACAGGGTTCTGGGCTGTACAAGTGTAAGTCAGCTCTTGGTGTTCAGGGGTCTGGAAGATTTGAAGGACATTGCTTTCTTTTCCAGAGGGACTCCAACTATATGTCACATTCTTTTCTTCTTTCCCCACAGAGCATGTCAGTGTGACATTACAAGTGTTGTTTTTGAGTGTTATTAAACTCTGTGTGATCTTTGGTTTTCCAAGTCGATCTGTAATGGGAAAGCATATGAGCCTACGGTGAGCTTGTGAGAACCAACTGTTAACTTCTCAGAAATTTTGCATGATGGATGTTGAACGTAGTATTAAAGGTTAAGTTATGAAAACATAAACAAATTGAACTAAAATAATTATTTAAAAAATATTCTGGGAGTGGGACTGGAGAGGTAGCTCAGTAGTTAAGAGCACTGGCTGCTCTTGCAGAAGATCTGGGTTTGCTTCCCAGCACCAATGAGGCAGCTAACAACTGTCCATAATTCTAGTTCCACAGGATCTAATGCCCTTTTCTGGCCTCCATGGGCACTGTGTACATGTGGTACATGTACATACATGCAGGAAAAATACTTATACATATAAAATAAGTAAGAATAATAAAATATGAAAATTACGTTTTGACATTTTACTAGAGTCTATGCTCTTGTGGTGATCTGTATATTTTGTATCCCCCGCTTTGCAATGATGTGCAGGGAGTCAATCCTTTCAACTCTGTAGGTCTTGAAAATTAACCATGGTAGCAGTTTTTAAAATGTAGAAATGGAAATGTTGCAAGTTTGGGCTTGATTTATTGTTTTGGTCTTTGATGCTCTCCACTTTAGAAAGCCACGAAGGAAAGCTTATAAATGCAGATGAAACTTAAAACTCTATCGTGTGTGTAGCCACTGCATTGCGAATATTAATCAAAACATAATATTGCTCCATATCTGTAGAACATTTTCTGCCTTAGTAAGGAAACTGTTTACTTTCAGGAATTGGTACTGCATGCCTGTAAGCCTCACATTCATGAGTCTGAGGCAAGAGGATCATGAATTTGCAGCTGGTCTGGGATACCTAGTGAAACTCTTTCCAAAATAAAAAATTCTAAATTTTTGAATTATGGGAATAGAAGAAAAATTCTGTGACAAAGGCATAGAAAACATTTTCAATAAAATCAGCAGAAAATTTCCAAAAGAGAGGCCCATTAGAACACCAAATAAACGATACCAGAAAAGAAACTTTCATGTCATATAATGCTCAAAACTCTAATATACAGAACAAAGAAAGTGTATTGAAAATTACAAGGGAAAAACACCCATTGACATATAAAGACAGGCCCATAGATAAATAGCTGACTTCTCAATAGAAACTTTAAAAGCCAGAAGGACTTGGAACAATGTATTTCAAGTTCTGAAAGAGCAGGACTTCCAACTCAGACTGAAAAACACAGCAAAACCAGCTGTCATAAATGAAAGAGAAAAAATTATAAGATAAAAGTAGACTAAAGGAACTCTTGACCACTTAACAGCTCTACAGGAGGTATTAGAAAGACTTCTTCATATTGCAGAGAAAAATGGACACATCCATGAAGCTACAGGAAAGAATAAATCAGTCAAGAACAGCAGTTAAACACACGAGGAATGAGAAAATATCAAACACTACAAAATCAATAAAATGATAGAAATTAATACACACTTTTCAATAATAGGCCTAAATATTAAAGATCCTGATTCTCCAGCCAGTCAAATAACACAGACTAGCATATTGGACTGAAAAACAGGATCCATCTATATGTTGCTTCTAAGAAACACACCTCCAAATCAAAGATAGATGTTACCTTGAGATGGAAGGATAGAAAAAGGTATTCTAAGCAAATGGAACTAGGAAACAATCAGGAGTCATTGTTCTAAAATCTGACAAAACAGACTTCCAATCAAAATTATTCAGAAGAGATGATAGTCTTTCAATACTGATAAAGTAAACAATCATCAAGAGAACATTACAGGGTTGGGGATATGGTTCAGGGGATTAAATTACTTGTTGTGCAAGCATGAGGTCTCGAGTGTGCATTCCCAGCACCCATGTAAAAACCAGGCACAATGATGTTTATCTGTAACTTCAGCACTAGTACAGGGGAGACAAGCACTGGAACTTTCTGGAGAGCCAGATTAGTGAAACTGATGAGCTCCGGGTTCAGAGAGTGACTCTACATAAGAAAAGTTAGGGTGGAGAGCAATAGAGGAAGATACCTGATGTTGACCTCTGACCCCCACATGCATGCACACATACATGTCAGGGCCTCTGCACACACTTGCATGTGTACACATACCCACCATCCACACACATGAACATATATGAATGCATAACACACACAAATAGGACACTATTTTTTTTAATTTTTTAATTTAATAACCACATGATTAGAAGTAGAATTTCATTATAGCTTTAACATATTCAGTAACACATTCCAGAGCAAGGATACATCTTTTTCAAAAGTGGCTGTAAATTTTTAGGTTCACAGTTGAATTAATACAGTTATATAATATTGCACCCAGTATAAGCCCTGTAAGACATGAAATTGAATGAGTTTTTACCCTTTAAAGATCTCCATTTCATTTAAAAATACGCTGTTTCCTACATTTTTGATGCTACCAACAATTAGATGTTTGCACATGTGTCTTTAATCTCTATGTATCTGATTACTACTAGTCACAGTTGGTTACACTTGGATCCTTGCCACCTGAGCATGGAAAAAAGTCACCAGGTAGATTTCAACGGTAATGTTTTTCACCTCTACTAATTAACATGAAGCAAATTTTTATGCTTCTTCCTCAAATATAACTAATTTATTTCTTGATATTTTTGGTATTTCATACAGAACATCCCAAACAATCTTATTCATCTATATACCCACTTCCCAAATGGCACCCTCACATAGCCTCTCCCCCCACCCCCCACTGCAGCCCATATATTCTGTCATCCCTGTTACTATCCACTGTGTTGTTGGAATCCCCAGCCATTCCCCAGTGTTTGTCCATCCGGTGAATCTAGTCAGCCTATCTAGAATTCCTTGTTTTAGGAAGATCAGCTCTTCCTCATCTAGCAGCAATCAGTTGTTAATATTCCTTTAGATAAGATTGGGGTCTGATGTTCATTTTCCCAGTCCTATGCTGGGTTACTGTCTGGGAGTCTCTTGGGCCACCCTGGCCAACAACTCAAAAAAAGGTATCTCCTGTCTGGCATTGTTTCTTGTTATGTAGCCTTTAGCTATACATATGGACTCTTAAAAATTATATTGGCCCCTTTAATCTTTGGTTATACTTTCCCCTTGGGTGTTTAAGACCATACAGTTGGCCCAGAAAAATCAATTTATTTTACTCTTAAGGCCATTTGAGGATCTGATCCTCAGGAGTCACATGGGCTTGGGAGGAGCCGCTGGATCCTTTTTTTACCAGTTCCATCTATGTGAAGATAAGTCAAAGGTCCTGATCGACCACGGCGTTCCATCTATGTGAAGATAAGTCAAAGGTCCTGTTCGACCACGGCTGGCTTCACTTGGAAGCATGGGGGAAGTGATTCCTTTGTGTTGACCCTCCTCTTTGTAGACTGGACACTGGTTCAAGTCCATCCCGTGGGGTCTCCTCGGCATCCTTGATCAAGAGGACACGTGACTCACCACAGTTACAGGACATTTTGAGAGATGCTCATAGTCCCCTGGAACTTAGTCGACCTAGGGGGGCAAGGAGCCAAAACTGTCCTTTATGTCCCTCTGACCAAATTGGTATAGGCTTCAAAGTAAGTCTGTTAAACATCCAAGAAGGATAGTTCCACCAGCCTGGTACTTTTAATTACCATATGCCATGTAGATAGAACTTGAGCAAAGACCAAATGGTTTCAGATAAACCTGGCCTAGGCATGTTACATTCTTTGATCTGGTTGTATGTGTAATTTGTCATGTATAATATGGTTATACATATAATTGTATGTATAATATGGTTCCCTCTAGTTTCTCCATTTAAAGTGTCCCCATTTTTCCCTTTTCTCCCTTAATAATACCCTTCTCCTATGGTCCCACCTCTCTTGAACTCCTTCTTTCCCTTTATCTGCAAGTTTCCTTGTATAACCTTCCCTCCTCCCTCCCCTTAAAATAACTGCATTTTATCCACTTCCCTTTACTAACACCTGTCTCCTACTGTTCTCGCTCAGGTTCCTTCTTTCCCTTTACCTTCCTGGTTCCTTTTCATTTTCCTGGTCCCTGCAATTATATCAGGATACATACTCATGTATAAGGATTTGGTGCTAGGATCCACATATGAGGTAGATGTGTCATTTGTTTTTTAAGCCTGTGTTATTTCACTTAGTATAACAGCTTCTAGTTCCATCTATTCTAGTTCCATCCATTTACCTGCAGATTTCTTGATTTCATCTTTCTTTACTGCTGAGTAAAACTCCATCGTATAAATGAACCACATTTTCAGCATCCACTTGTTAGCTGAAGGACACTTAGGTTACTCCCGTCTCTTAACTATTGTGAAAAGAGCAGCAACAAACATGGATGTACAAGTGTCTCTGCAATAGGACGAGTTCTTTGGGTATATGCCAAGGAGTGGTATAACTGGGTCAAATGGTGGTTCATTTGTAGTTTTTTAAGAGTTTTCCACACTGTTTTCCATAGGGGTCGAACACATTTGCAGCCCCACCAGCAGTGAATGAGTGTTCTCCTTTCCCCACATCCTCTCCAACATTTGGTATCATTTGTTCTCTTGATCTTAGCCAGTCTGAAAATGGCTTTAATTTTTCATTCCCCTAATTACTAATGATGTTGAACACCTTTTAAGATGCTTCTTAGCCATCTTTACTTCTTCTTTTGAGAACTCTGTTCAGCTCCTTAGCCCATCCTTTAATTGAGTTACTTCCTTTCTTGATTCTTTGTTCTTGAGTTCAAAGATGCTGAGTTCTTGAGTTCAAATATGCTGGTCTCAGGAAGCTGGTGGCTGTGCCACCCAGGGATGCAAAGGGAGGTGGTGGTGGGAAGAGGTCCCAAGGGCTCCTGGGGACTACTGGGAGGAACTGGGCTGGTCTGGATGCAAAGGATCAGGAAGCAGTGGGGATTCTGGGCCTAGAGGTCATTCCTGGAGTCTGGGGTTCCAAGAGAAGAAATGGGCCAGTACCCAGGCTAGAAGGGGAGCTGGGAGGGTGAATGAGGCTGGGGTAGTCAAGGTGTGGTGGGCACTGCTGG